TCCCCAAGTGGAATAAGTGAGGAAGAATGTGCCAAACCTTCCAAACTGTTCGAAACCCAGCATCAAATCAGCGCAAATCCCCGGTTCGGCACGAAGTTTAACTCCAGCCAAAATTCGGATCAAGTTAAATCCTGCCTTGGTTTCGAAAATATCGAAAAATCCGTTCGATGGGGCGAGTCTAAAGGCCAAAATCGTCCCCAAATCTCGACCTCCACGATCAATCTAATCTACGAGTTACGAAAAGATCAAGATTTTTCCATGTTGCACAGCCCAAAATTTAACCCCGCCACGATATCCGCATCTTCCTGGGTGAGCGCCATCTGGAAGAAATTCCTGGAACACAGCATTCCCCAAGATATCGGGATGAAAGTCGTGAAAATCGGCAGGACCGGAAATGAATACGACGTTACCGACTTTCTCCACCGTTTACGGCCCAATTCACTCATAAAACTGCAACTTTTCTCGAGAAACGAGGAACTCAACGTGACCGGGATCATAAAGCGGGAACTTTACTCGAAAAGCACCCTTTCAACCGAGGTTATCACCTCATTGAAGGATTTGGTCCGGCAAACCGTCATAGTTTCCCCCGCCCAAAGCACGCATTTCGGCGGGTATCGAATCCCGCGTAGGGTGCAATCTTCAAAAGTCTATGTTTGCGACTTGTCTGCGCTCCAATTTCAAAATAAATTTAATACGGGGCGTCTCGTCCTAATTTCGAGGTACGATACACTCCAAAAGGGTGTTTTGGATGACGAAATTTCTCGAAATGTAGTCGGTGAGGCTAAATCATGCCCAGAATTCCGCGAAACTCAAAGATACATCCCATGTAAAAGTAGCATCTTTGGAGAAGTGCTCTTTGACAAGGTGGCGTATAAACGGTTCGTAGCGAAAGACGTAGTTTTGGCGGGGTTAGCTTTGAACCGGGAAGCAGCGCGGGATCACGAGCAACCGATAAATTTCAAATTTTTGAAATATGGGAGCGGTTTTTTTGCCGGGGATTTTACCCACATTATTGAAACGAATATATTATCCGGGGTTTTGGATGGGCTCTGAGCTTTGGATAGAATTGTTTGGGGAACTTGAAGTCCGCTGTATTAAGCAAGTGGAACTTCCCTTTTTTCAAAATTCGGAGAAAAAACGGGTGTCCGAAATAGAGAAGAGGTTTCAGAGGAAAATCGTATTTTCGGCGGAGGACTGTTTGAAATCCGGGGACGACGGGTTGGTCACCGCCACGACGAATTGTGGCGATCCGCACGCCGTGTTTGGAAATGAGATGGGATGTCACAGCGTGGATGCGGCGATTGCGGAAAATTTGGTGGGAAAAGGGGGTCAGTTTTGTCCCTTGATAAATGAAAAGTTTGAGGAATTTTTATTTTGAACTGTTTTTTTTAAATTTCGATATCTAATGCGAGATGGAGGTCGACGTTGTAACTTGAAAGGTCACGGTTGCAGGTCATAATAGGCTCTCGCCACTTCATTATTCCTGTTTTTGACGAGTTTTTCATGTGGAATGAGATTTTATGTAAAATCATTAATTCTGTAATTCCTATACAAAAATTAATAAAATTAATAAAATGGAAATGGTAATTTGATAATAATGCCAATTTTTAAATAATTTATAAATAAGTCATGCCGAAACTGTAACTTTATGAAATCATTTTACAAGCTGGTACCTACACGAAAAGAAAGTAATAAATTAATTTTCAGTTTGCAAAATTTGTACATGTCTATTTTTATTAATCGCAAAAAGGATTAATTTTCTAGTAACGTGTTAATTTTTTAAATTTGTATTTATTAAAGCGCAAAACTATTATACATTTTTGATCATTATCATTCATTATGCATTACCGTCAAAGATAAAATTAACCTTTTTATATAAATTTCGGATTGGACACGTTCAATGCGAATTTTTGACACAACTTTATTAGGAACATCTCTGTGCTTACGAATTCACAAAACCTTACGAAAATAAAAGGCATTTTGTTCGTTCGTACGCTGATCTTCGTAAGTTTACATGGTTACGAACTTACGAAGATGACGAGAAATACCTCTACATTAAAGGTTGAAATTGTATAAACTATTCTGCCCCAGCATAAGAAATCAGTTATATATCCGACCTTTTATTTGTGTAATATTGTATTGAAGAAATTCACGCAGTCTTTTGTAACTTCTAATAGCATTAAGTTTTGTATAATAATTTTACAAACTTTTACAAAATACAAAAATTGCCCTTGATCAGAGTAAGTTTACAAAAATTTATAAGCTATTAAGAAAAATAGTTTTCCTCGCAAACATATCTACAATTTGGTATGTTTAGGGAATTCGAGGATTTTACAATGTTACCAAGGCCTGCTAGAATTGCCTCATTGACTCGGCTTTTTCAATTCAATTCAATGACCTGCTTCCTACGGAAAGCAAGTTGCTGGAAAAGTCAACCTGAAGATAGAAGCGGATGGACACCTGACAGAGAAAGTTGGCCCAAATCCAAGCTACCGCGTACCCGGAAGTAGTTCAGTTACGTAATTTTGGTAATAAATATGTGGCTAGGTTATATTCGAGACTGTCTTATTTTTTTACGAAACAAATTTTTAAATAAAACCCGATCCTAGTTTTCATCAGTTTCATAATTTTATTATTAATTTAATTCAAGAAGATCCATATTCGTGATCCGGTTGAAATAAGTACGCATATTTTTTTTAATATTGAAGCAATGCACGCAGTGATAATTTGGTAAAATCTATAAATTCTGTAAACTTACAAACTTTTACAAAATTTTAAAATTATTTCGAAGAAAAATTAGCTTACAAATTTTTGTAAACGTATTCAGATCAAGGGCGTCACTTTATTTTGTAAAAATTATTTTAAAATGCGCACAGATTTACGAAGTTATCAATGCCTGTGGGTTATGCATATATGTAAAATTGTATATTATTTAAAGCTGCTTTTGTAACTTTCAAAATTTTACTTTCTCACAAATTTCATGAGTTTAAATTCCTTTATAACTTAACATTTATAGTGAGAACGAGTTCAACTCAGGAATTCTGAATATGCATTTGCAGCTTTCATTCCACAGAATCCGAGTCCATGCATCTTTGTTAAATGCGTGCTTGTGGATTTTGGTAAATATTTGACCCAGATTCACTTTCACTTCCAACTATTCGTGTTGGTTTGATACGAGTGAAAGTGTGAAACTGTTGTGTTCAGCTGAAATTTTCGACTGATTTGATGTAACATTTTGCATGGATTTTCGAGTTCTTCACAATTGTGAGGAATTCATTGCGTTTCTCACATCACGAATTGCTTAAGCTGATCTATTGCGATGTAGTTTGGTTTATGTAAAGAGATTCATTTCATGACGTGATTTCCTGGATTCACTAGGAAATCAAAATTTGATGAAAAACTTCTGGTTTTATTTTCATAAACAAGTTCGCGAAGAAATTAAGTAGCTTCTCTTAAAACTATTAGATTTCGAAATTAATCCTTTCAGAAATCTGGTAAGTCACGCAAGTATTGAATCCTCAGTATTAATCTTGTTACCGGCTGATATTAAAATTGTACCGGTCCATAAAAATTTCTTACGGATATGGTAAAACTACCTAGCTATTCCCGCAGGGTATGTATCACTTGTCAATACCGATATGGTAGAGTCGTATATGAATAACGCTTGGTATCAGTTTAATACTGGATTTCTAAGAATGTAAGATTATTGCGCTGCTTTTATCATGTATTAATTTGCGATAAAAGTGTTCATCTTTAAAAATAAGAATGGAAAATTGGTTACTGAGATTCTTTGAGGTTTTTCGACGCCGATTTTAATTACCGAGAAAAAATACTTCGTGACACTACCGGTAGATATCAATTTTCCTACGAATTCTTTGAATATTTTAATACTAGTAAAAAATATGTACCGACTTTAATAACTTAAATATGCAGTGCATATTAGTCAAGTAGCATATTTAGTTAAGTTATTTATTTTTCGAAATATGAGTATGGTAGATATTCGCCAAAAGAATCGATTAGTTGACCTGATGGAGTGTTTAACTAAAATAGTGGTCACGCAGAAGTATTATTTATATAAGGTTTATTTTTTTTATTTTTTTCCCGAAAATATCTCTATTAATTTCGTAATTTCCAAATAATTCGGAATTTAAAATCCATTCTTTCAGACCGTTTTTGCATCCTAGTACCTATTTAACCTATAATCCTAAAGTCCTATGGTTAATAATTTGATTTGGCTTTAATATCATACAAAATTGAATAAGTAGAGGAAACTTTTCAAGAAAAAATGAATTCAAATTTTTTTGGCTTTTAATAAGTGTGTCAAGTCTCAAAATTGGTATATGTAAGTTGAACGGGATAGGAAGAGCCCTCTAATGGTATGTATAGTTTGACGTGGTGAATGACGTGTCACCTTTCTCATTTTTTACTTTATGAAACTGGGCTGTTCCTTTTCCAACTCATTCCAGAAGTAGCAACCTGTGAATCAAGGTGTGTAATTGGCTTGTATGTGAATGTCTAAATTTCCTAATAATTCGAAATAGTAAAGATTGGATATTTTGTGACATATTTAACTCATTGTGTTCTCGCTTGTTTATTTGAGTTCCTCATAAAGTCAGTCAGTCAGGGCAATAGGTCATATTTAAAAGTCACCGTCCAGTGCACAGTATTTAGAGATTTCCCCGTCCAGTGGGCGGATCCCAAATCTCACATATTTTGGTGACCTCGACGTGATGGTGTTGAAATACTGTCTCCTCATCAACGACGGAGGACATTGGACGTGACTTGACCAGTGGATATCGTGGTGGAAAGACAAGGAGTACTTGGGGGCGTTTCCCGACGACGACAACTCGACGGGTAGCGGTCGCCCAAGGACCGCTTGAATTTGTGGTGTACCGGAGCCCTTAGTCCGGACACTTCAGGTCAATATTTGTTCCTGATTCAATTTTTACAGGCAAATATTAACTTTTTTCGTTTGTCTTTTCCTTTCCTTTCTTCTTAACATGACGTCCAAGATTCGTAGCGCGTGGAGGACGAAGGCTACTACCTATTGCAGACAAGCAACAGAAGAGTTTAAGAAGCTTGCGCCTAACAAGAAATGGCTGAAGATACTAAAGCTAAAGTTGGAGGAGGTTCGCATCAAATTACAAGCCATTGAAGAGACCAGTATGAATGAAACGACCACCAGTGGGGATGGTGAGGATGAAAAGTATGAAGAGTACGATGAAAAAATCCTCTGTTGCATTGCCGACATTGAAGAAGAGTGTCAACCAGACCCGCAACAAGCGCAGCAACAACAAATGGGTGGTGCTGGCGGCGGTGGAGCGGCGATGGGCGGTGCGGGTGCGACCAGCAGCAGCTCATACTACTTTCCCAGGCTGAAGTTGAGGGAGTTTTCTGGCGAGTTGACTGAATGGCTGGGGTTTTGGGATTCATTCAAGATTGTACATGATGACAAGGGATTGGACGATGTGAGAAAGTTCCAGTTCCTACTGGGGTGCATGGTACCAGGGTCCAAGGCAAAGGAAGTTGTGGAATCCTACCCGATGAATGCTGCAAATTACGCAAAGGCGGTGGAGGCCCTGAGATCAAACTTTGGCAAGGAGAAACTGCTACAGTTGGTATATGTAAGAGAGCTCTTATCTATGAGTAATGGGAGGAATGGGCATGAATCTTTATCAAGTTTGTTTAACAAATTGAAATCGAGATATGAGGCCTTACAGACTTTAGGAGTTACCACACAGCAGGCGTCGATATTTCTGTATGCCATTGTGGAATCATGCTTATCAGAAGATGTGTTAACTGCCTGGCAGAGATCGTCCGATTTTGGTAGGGATGGGAGCAAGGAGCGACCACCCAAGACCGATATGGATTATTTGATGGATTTCCTGCAGAGAGAAGTGGAAAATGAAGTGCAGCGAAATATGGCCAGGTCAGGATATGGTGAAACGAGTGCAACACCAAAGTCGTCGAGTGAAAAAGGGCACCATCGTGAAAGGAGAGACACTCCAAGTACGGCAGCGAATCTCTTCGGTGGTGCAGTCCATGACGGAAAGCAGCAGTGTTTGTTCTGCAAAAAGGGTCATCCTTCGGCAAAGTGTTGGAAGGCGCAGAGAATGAGCCTAGAAGAAAGGCAACATTTGGTTCGTAATTGCGGTGTTTGTTTTTCTTGTCTTCAGGGTGGACATTTGGCAAAGTCGTGCAAAGCTGGGGTCCAGTGTTCTCTGTGCACAAAGAGGGGTCATCTCGCGCTGATGTGTAGGCTCGGGAGTGACAAGAAGACTGATGAGGGGCCTGATGCTAATGTGGCAGCCCATATGGTCAGTCAATCTGTGACGAAGGATGTGCAACTTTACACCCTCAACGTGAAACTGAGGGGAAAGCGAGGCATTGTGGATGCAAGACTCTTATTCGATAGCGGATGTCAAAGGAGCTATGTTAAGAAGTCGACAGTGGCCAAATTGGGAATCAGTGCTGTGGGGCGAGAAGAATTTCGCAAGGCGCTGTTCGGTGGCCAACTAACTGAGGTCAAGTCGCATAATCGGTATAAGCTTGAATTACTGAATGTTGATGGACAGAGACCGATGTCATTGGAATTTCTTGAGGAGGACACGATATGTGCAAAGATTGGTCGTGTCCCACCAGGCCCAGGGATTGCGGAGCTGGCCAAGAAGAAGGTCACAGTAGGGGACGTGGGTCATGGTTCTGCTGAAATTGATTTGCTGATAGGTGGAGATCAATTTGGACAGCTACTCACCAACAAAGTTATCCAGTTAGAGTGCGGCTTGACGGCGATAGAGACAAGTCTTGGGTGGACAGTCGGTGGTCGTGTGCCGGTGGTGAGTGAATCAAGTGCGATGGTCGTAACTTGTCTTTCTGTGAATGAGCTACAGGTTAGTCAATTGTGGGACCTGGATGCTATTGGGATACGTGATGTCGTAAAACAAAAGCAGAATGTGAAGAAGTGGCGAAACAACACTTTCAAGAGAATGTCACGAAAGATGATGATGGGCGTTTCTGTGTCGCTCTGCCTTGGAAAAATGGGGAGCAGAAGATGTCGTCCAATCGTGTCGTGGCTGAGAAGAGGTTGGAGTCGGCTACTAAAAATTTGGTGAAGGAAGGGTACTTGGAAAAGTACAACAAGGTGTTCAGAGATTGGGAAATGGATGGCGTTATAGAGGCAGTGAAAGAAGAATCCTGCGACAACGCTCATTATCTTCCCCACCGTGCCGTTATTAAGCCTGAGAGTGCCACCACACCAGTTCGACCCGTGTTTGATGGGTCATGCAAGTTCGGAAGGAACCCGTCGCTCAACGATTTACTTGAGGTCGGTCCTAACTTATTGGAATCAGTGCCATCAATTCTGTTGCGTTTTAGGAGAGGTCGCTTCGGTGTCACCGCGGACATAAGGAAAGCGTTCCTTATGGTGGGAGTGCGCGAAAGGGATCGTGACTACCTCCGCTTCCTATGGTGGGAGGACATTAGCAAACGGGATGTCTACAAAATTTATCGACATAAGCGGGTGGTTTTTGGGGTCAACTCGAGTCCATTTTTGCTCGGTGCAGCCATCAATCATCAATTGGAAGCTAAAGCCGATGAATTTCCATCAACTTGTGAAATATTGCGAGAGTCTTTCTATGTGGATAATTTGGTCTGCTCCGTGGATTCAAAAGAAGATCAAGACCGTGTCGTGTCTCAAGCTACATCGATCATGGGCGAGGTGAAGATGGAGCTAACGCAGTGGGGGATTAGCCTTGGCGGCTTGACCAGAGGGGCGACTCTCCCCTGTGAAAGCTCCCTTAAAGTCCTCGGCATGAAGTGGGACACGGCAGAGGATTGTCTGACGTTAGACATTCCAGAATTTGACATGGGCAGAACAGTGACAAAGAGGACAGTTTTAGCAGACCCCGCAAGAATATTCGACCCACTCGGTTTGGTATGTGCAGTAATGGTGCTGCCTAAAATCATTCTACAGAAGTCGTGGAAAGATAAGACAGGTTGGGATGAAGCACTAGGAAAAGCAGAAGAAAGTGAGTATGTCAATTGGCTGAAGCAGTTGCCAATGTTAAGTATGTTGAAGATCCCTCGCCATCATTTTGCTGGATGTGACCGGCCGGAGGGAGGAGAAATTCATGCGTTCAGTGATGCAAGCTACCGTGCCTACGCTGCAGTCATTTTTATAAGGTTTAAAATTGGAAAAGATATTGTGGTAAAGTTGTTGCAGGCGAGGAGCAGAGTTGCGCCGATGCAAAAGATAACCATACCTCGTCTCGAACTGTTGGGATGCTACATCACCGCTAATTTGACAATAGAGTTGAAGAAATCGTTGCAATATGAGAACATGCCCACATTCTTCTGGAGTGATTCCACCACCGCGTTGGCGTGGATCAAGAGGAACGACGAGCTAGGAACATTTGTTGGGAACCGGGTGTCATCTATTCTGGAGAGCACAGTTGCCGAGCAGTGGAGACACGTCCCGGGCAAGATGAACCCAGCCGACCTCCCGTCAAGAGGTTGTGGGGCGGCTGAATTCATTCGGTCCAGATGGTGGGAGGGACCGAATTGGTTATGTAAGAGCAAGAGCGAATGGCCAAATCAGAACGTGAAGGCGGACGAGAATGAAGTCGCTATCGAACTGAGGAGGAAAATCGTGTCGACAATGCCAAGCGTTAGTAATTCATGCTGGTATAAATTTTCTAATGTCTACTCTAGAAATGTGAAAGCCGTGGCCTGGATTTGCCGATTTGTGAAGTGGCTTCAGAAAGGGCGGCCCAAGGAGATAGACCTTCCTAAATACATCACAGTGGAGGAGTTCAAGGACGCGGAGATCAAAGTACTCCGTCTCATTCAGAAAGAGTCGTTTCCCAATTCAGATATCATCAATAGAAATGTGGTGGAGCGTGACGACAACGATTTGATTCGTGTGAGGACTGCTGTCATGAGGCGGAAAGATCACTCAGCGTTTCGTTTTCCCGTTTTGTTGCCTCATAATCATCCAATTATAGAGACACTGGTGATGGAAGTTCACATGGAGAATTGTCATGGTGGAGTCCAGGTTGTGCAGTCCATATTACGTGAGAGATTCTGGCTCATCAAGGGGAGGATGACCGTGAGAGCCATTCTGAGAAGATGCGTGAAATGCCGTAGATTTCGAGCGAAGGCCACTCGACCACCACCAATTGCGTTGCCAGAAGATCGTGTCAAGGATTCAAGAGTGTTCCAGACTACAGGTGTCGATTTGTGTGGCCCATTATTCTTGAAAAATGGGAAGAAAGTCTGGGTGGTATTATTCACTTGTGCGGTTTATCGAGCGGTGCACCTGGAATTGGTCACCTCGTTGTCAACTGAATGTTTTTTGGATGTGTTTCAGTTGTTTGTTGACAGGAGAGGAAAACCGGAGACAGTTTACTCAGATAATGGGACCAATTTCCATGGCGCTGTAAACCTGTGGGGAAAGCTCTACTGGTAACGAATTGTAGCGGAGACCAGCTCCAAACCGATTAATTGGAGATTTTCGCCTCCCACCGCAGCGTGGTGGGGAGGATTCTGGGAACGCCTGGTCCAGTCAGTTAAGGACCTACTTAAACGAATGCTGGGAAGTGCCAAGTTGTCAGAAACCAAGTTAAGGGTGTGCCTGACGTCGGTGGAACGAGTCGTGAATTCCCGTCCACTCACAACTGTTAGCGAGGACTCGAACGACCTCGTCCCACTCACCCCTGCGATGTTCCTTATTGGTGAGGCTAGCACTGACTGTCCTGAAGCCGAGTTGATTTCGACAAGCTGGTTTCGAGAAGTCTACGCAAAGAAGAAATCTGTGAAAGAAGAGCTACAGTCCCGTTTCCGGAAGGAATATTTAAGTCAGCTCCTTCAACGTGCTAAGACTCTCAAACACGTTCCTATCAAAGTGGGGGATGTAGTGTTTCTTGGGAGTGATGACAAGAAACGACAGTCATGGCCACTTGGACTTGTGGTGAAAGTAATTCCGGGTGAAGATGGAATCGTCCGTACTGTTCGAGTCAAAACCGAGTATGGAGAGAAAGTTCGTCCAGTCGGTCGCCTGTATCCAACTGAAATCAGTGCGGTTTCAGAGGTAACAGCGGAAGTTAAATCAATTGCAAAGAAAGTCAAGATGATCCAACAACAACAAGACGAAACTGATCAATGTGAACCTGATAAGCAAGTTAGAACGAGATTCGGCCGAATTGTGAATCGACCTAAATTATTTCAGCCATAAATTGTTTTGTATGAATTTGATAATGAAATGTGTGTCGTGTATGTATTTATCTTGACTATGATTAATTAGGCAATTAATGTGGGAGTTATGTCAAGTCTCAAAATTGGTATATGTAAGTTGAACGGGATAGGAAGAGCCCTCTAATGGTATGTATAGTTTGACGTGGTGAATGACGTGTCACCTTTCTCATTTTTTACTTTATGAAACTGGGCTGTTCCTTTTCCAACTCATTCCAGAAGTAGCAACCTGTGAATCAAGGTGTGTAATTGGCTTGTATGTGAATGTCTAAATTTCCTAATAATTCGAAATAGTAAAGATTGGATATTTTGTGACATATTTAACTCATTGTGTTCTCGCTTGTTTATTTGAGTTCCTCATAAAGTCAGTCAGTCAGGGCAATAGGTCATATTTAAAAGTCACCGTCCAGTGCACAGTATTTAGAGATTTCCCCGTCCAGTGGGCGGATCCCAAATCTCACAAAGTGAAAGTTAGTCACAAAATCTTCCACAATAATGAAGAGGAGTAAGTCTCTTGTCTAAATTTCATGCATGCATTTATTATTCGACACTTTCAGATCACGTTATAATAAATACATTTTTAACTTTAGTTATAACCTAACAAAAAAAATATTTAAAACAAAATTTAATTTGCGATCATGGAATAGTTGATAAAAAAATGCGTGGTGAATAAAATTACTTTCTTCTCATGTCGCACAGGATATTAAACACTCGGAATTATCTAGTAATTTGTTCAGTGAGTAGCTCATCTAGGTTTATTTTACTAAAAATATAAGCATTCATACACAATAAATATAAATACACTTAACATAAGTTGGTAACAAAACCGTCACTGTTTGTGGTCAATATGACACCCAACTATTTATTAATTTATTTCATACAATGAAACATCCCAGATAATTGGGTCATTACGTTTCAAGGATAGACACGTTGGTATCGATTTACCACCGAATGTTCACAAAACCTTCCTCGGAACTTGAAATGGACATCGTCCGGTTAAAAGTTAACCGGAATTACTTAGAACAGGGAACAATTTTGAAACTTGTGGAAATTATTGTTACCTTCCGGTAGCAAATCATCACCAACGTAGATGAGCTTGCCTACTGACGAAATGATGACGATTTTCGACTACTCGGTGATGATGTTATCACCGGTTTTTGTAGCGTAATAATAACTTCTGTAAATTGTAAAGTTTAGACGACTTTATGTACAATGTTATAATAATCAAATTTCTAAAATTAAAATAGATCGCTTAAACAAGCTGCCTTGTGCAAAGTTTTTTGATACAAATAAAAAATTTAATGAAAATATGAAACTTTATTTCTGTAGACGCATGTCATAAAAATCGGAAAAATCTGCAAATCTGTGCAGACAATTGTTACCCTATTTTAAATTAATTTGCATGGATTACTTCTAATTTCTTAAACATTTAATAAAATTGATGAGTTTGTGAAATAATTTTTACGAAATAAATAAATAAATAAATATGAAAAAAATCCTATTGTTTTCCAAAAAAAAACGTTTTGCGAAATCTTGCAAACTATGCAAGTGATTACTAATTTGCGAGATATGCGAACGCATAAAACTTCCAATCCAAGGTTTATTACAAATCTATCTATTGCAAATTTTTTAACTTGACAGGCTCAAAATGTTTTGAATGACGTAGTAACATAACATAACTTAAACAATCAATACTATAGTCATTTCACGTCATGGATTTTGCATTTCAGAATTTCAAGCTGTTTTCTTTTTCTGGGTAAAATTTTCCTCCACTTTCTCCAATTGTGTCTGGTAAAAGTTGGCAGGTCTTAAAAAATGTGACCAATTGTTAAAAGAAATTTTCTCTCCCGGAAACATAAAAGTGCGAAAGGAAACGGAAGACAATTTAAAAAATGTATGATGCAGAGCTTAAGTTCTGCTTTCACCATTTGTGAAAATGTTTACAAAATAGGGACAGACAGTTAAAGACGTAGGAAAACATATGGCCCAGTAAATTAAAATGGAATACAATGCTTTGAAAATAATTTGAGAATGTGTGAGCATAATGTTTTCTGCAAACGTGGCCAAACACGAGAAAATTAGGAGCCATGCCTAATGGCAAACTTTCTCCGAAAAAACGTTAGAGAGAAAACCGAGCAAGTTGTGTCAAAGTTCAGGTTACGACGATTTGAGGCAGCATATGCAGATTTTTAATTTCACCCTACCCCGATTCAATGTCTTTAAATGTTAAATGTGCATTTCTAACATCAAAGTTTTGAGATAAATGCAGCTTTCCATATTTTAATGTAAATTTAATTTTTGGTACTACCAAACCATCGATTTAAAAAAAATAGAGAATGTGAGGAAATATATTTCGTACATGAATGAATTTGCAATTTTTACTAATCGATCGATTTGCAATACTAAAAATTAACGTGTAAGCGGTATGAAATTCATGCTCATGCATTTTTCGTTATCATAGACGTCACAGAGCGAAAAATTCCAAACAAATTTGGTGAAATGTGACAAAAGATCACATGAGGAGTCAAAAATAGAAACTTATGCCATCATGTTACAAAGCATAAGAATGTTTACGCGTGTGAAACGACGTAAACAGCTTATCGGACGAGTTTATCTTATAAAAAAATGTGGCGAGATTCACGGCAGACACGAGATTTGGAAAAGTCCAATCTTGTCAACGAATGGAATCAGCCCGCTTGAAAAAATTACATGCTAATTAAAACGATATCAATTAATTTAACTCAACACTATCAGTATTTGTATAAATTCGACTTGAACTTGGACAAAATCGTCAGACGCGAACTTATCATTGAATCCACAGGATTCTTCTTCTTCAGGTAATGCATGTTCATAAAACTTGATATTTAATTTTTGAATAGATAGTTATTGCTAATATTGAATTTAATGATTCTATTGAATTTATTAATTCTATTGAATTTAAATCATTTTTACAGAAAAAAAACACACTTTTTAAGTAATTTAGTAAAGATTAGGTATGATTTCAGCTTCCCACGTTAATTTGTTTTACGCAGTTTGTAAATTTGAACGGATTAATAATAAAATTTCCAAACTTGTTTTCCTGAATTTCTTGCAAGCAGAAAACTTTGTTAACTACAAAATTTGCAGTGCAAAATTTATGCTGCAAAGCGTTTGCTACTTTGACGTACGAATCAAAGTGCGCAAAAATTGCTGCACAAAATCTTCACCAATTTAACGATCTTCTAATTGTCATAACTACCGAAGTCTCTCAAAACTTATACAATTTTCTCAATTTTCATCCATTTAACAATCTAATTTTCCTTGAGTTCAATTCTCGCAAAATTTCAAATTTCAAAATTTTTCTAATTTCCAGCCACCACCACCACCATGTCGCCCAAACCCTTCGCCGTAATCGTTACCCTTACCCTCGCCATCTTCACCACCGGCGTCATCTCCGCTCCAGAATATGGCGAAATTTGCAACAGTATTATCCAGTGTAACAGATATTCCGAAATTTACGACCAGAGCGTTATTTGCATGCTTCGCAAGGCCACCAACCCGGACGGATTATGCTCCACGGTCGCCGTGGCGGGAGGAAGATGTCAATGCGCGCGGAACTGCGGGCCATTCTACGATTATCATGATGACGGCGAATTTTTACCGGAGGAAGGTCGCTGCGTCGGATTTGTGGGGTCACTCTGCTACCCTGGCTATGCTAACGATTGCGTCGAAAACGCCTATTGTCCAAATAATAATTGGCACTGTAAAAACCAAGCTATCACCTACCCGGAGTATAGTGTCTTTACGAATATTTAATTGTGCTTTGCTCGTTGGAATTAAAGAAGGTGACTGAGTGAATATACGATTATTTTATCTACTTAAACTGGATTTTATTTCCAACAAATTACTAATTGTCAACACAATTCAGAGCTCTGCACTAACACGAGTTGATTGGTGACTTACTATTAACAAATTAATCGTGGACATCAATTACAAAGAATTAACAATTCTTACTCTTGATTTCCTACCACGACGACTAAATCCAAAATGTCTGACTTTGACAACGACTAAAACTCGACTGTGTAGATTTCTTCTACCTACTTACTTACTACGACTTATAACAAAGAGACCCAAAATCCCACCCTGACGTCACCATGGCAACCACCACCACGTCACGGGGCAATCTTACACGCATATTCAACAATTTACAAAAATACATAAAACAATTTCATAAATACATCATTTTACATTTAACAGGCACTGCGTTTGCACATTGGGATTCGAAACTGGGCCGGATGGCAAGCATTGTGTCGCTATTAAAGTATAAAAAGATGCAATTTTTTCGGTTAAATTTCTGAACAATAAATTAACTTGATTTATAAGATGAAGCTTTATTTGTTAGTAATATTACTAACAAATAGTTAGTATTTACTAACTTCGCATTGATACGGATATAATTTCGAAGAAAACCTACTGGGATTTTGGATTTTAAAATATCACACATTTACAACATAGACTTCAAAGTATGACAATTTATTAGTGACCATTTTAAATTTATCATCCCAAAAATATACATGTTCGAGTAAAAGTATTTGTCAAGCAGTGAAAATCCAATCTAAAGAAGGTTCATGAAGCAATCTGCTTATCCAATTGCTTAGAAAATTAAAATCCTGAGAATGTGGTAAATATTTGAAAAAAATCAAATTTTTGAAATTGAAATTTTTTTAGAATTAATTTTTTTAGATCTTGTGGCTAGTTAATTTTTTTAGTAGGTATTACACAAAAATGAGCAAGGAGTTTTAAAGGAACTTCTGTTTTAAGTGAATACTTGGTATTTCAGTGTGTAAATCCAAAACAAATGTAAATTTGAGCTTAGAATTAGTTCATTTTTTTGCAGTTCTACAATTTACCTGTCATTTACGAATACTTTTATGTTCACTTAAATAATTCAGCTTTCAGAAAGAAAAGTACATATTTTATTTTCTAACTTTTAGAAATAAAATAAAATAAAGTAAATTTTAAATTCATAAAAATATTTCATCTATGGTGAGTGTCGTCACAAAAATCTTTTTTTAATCGGCGAGGCAGATTAATAGTTGACAACATGCAGATCAACAAATCCAGATAAATTTCGTGCATATTTGTAGGTACACCAATTTTGAAACTGCTTGCCCTTGTGCAATTTGTTGAGAAATTTTACCTTGGTCCTAAATATTTTAATAATTAATATTTAATTTTAACTAACAATAAGCGTTTAGTGAATTTAATTAAGTTGGCTGCTTTTATTTACCTGATGGCGAATTTCTCCGTCTCTTCCTTTCTGATAATAAGTACCACAAGATTAAAGTGACCACTGTAACAATGGCCAAAGTTTGGAAGGAGATCTGCGGCAAAATCTGTAAAAAAAAGTTTACATTTCATAAGAAACTTTTAATTTGTTATTTTTTAAGTTTTCCAACAAAAGGTTTCTCATTTTGTATTTCAGTTGCTAATTTAGTTTTTTTAACGGTTACAATTTTTAAGTAAAAATTCAGAAACCTTGAAAATCAGTGTATGCTTTACGGGTTTTGTAACAAATTTGAATAATTTTACACGAAACAATTTAATTTTGCTGCGTTCATAAGGCAGAATTATAATTTTTTTAAACGAGTAACGCAACTGGGTCCGAATGATATTCTTAAAACAAATATTCAGACGTATTTAATTTCTTTAAAAAAGGCAAGATTAAATAAAAACTAAGAAAATTTTATGATTGCAAAATGTTGCATTATTTTGAAATAGTAAGTTTGTTTTTCAATAAGAGATTTCATCTTTCGCTTTTTTAATGAATTTTATAATACAATTAAAAATTCGTATTTATTTTTTCGACGAGACTGAACATTAAGAATATTGCAGCATTTATAAATATTGAATTATTTTGTTTGCATTGTTTCAAAATTATAAAATGCATTAAATTACAAAATCCATGCAGCTTAAAAATTTTGGGCAAAACAATATGTCCAATCCAAACGACACTTTCATCTTTGCATTAAAAACCGAATGCAATTTCTTAATATTCCAAAATCGGCGTTTGGATCGATCAAAAGAATTATAAACACACGGTTAAAAATCTGGTAGAGTTATATATCGTGCTGGTATTGATTTGGTAATAATTTCCTACCGGATTGGTAGTAAATTGTTCCTGAGTGATAAATTTTTCATTACCACAACATTACTGAACCGTAATTCCCGTTAATACCAGTGCCGGTAGAGTCACATATGTACTCCGGTCGGTAATGATTTAATACCAGTTTTCTAAGACTTCAGTAAAATATCCATTATTTCAAAAATATTAAGCTTACAGATTTTAGAGGTCTCCGTAACGAATTACGATCCATATTAGTACGATTTTAGGTTCTGTTGGAGCAGAACGATGTGAGCTGAATGACAACGACTAAATTAGTGCATGATGTGATGCAGCACTCTTTACGAAACTGGAATAATTTACGCACTAAATAATAATCATAAAAAAATATTGAACGGTTGTGTATGCTCTTAAGTAAACAGAACTATAGCAAAAATATGAAATCTTCCAGCCATTACGGCTTCCGTTGTTCTTAAAAAGTTTGAAGCAATGCACAGATTTTGAGGAAATAATGCTCGTACTGATTAAAGGGGGGGGGGGACGAGATAAAATATTAAGGAAATTCACACAGTCATTAAGAAATTATAAATTTATTGAATAATTTTAAATTTTTTTACAAAAAATAAAACAATACAATACAACAATAAAACAATAAAACGACATCCGTGATTTGAGTAAGTAAGTTTACAAAAAAAACCGGAAGCTTATTTTCTTTAGAAATGTTTGTCAAAGTTTGCAAGTTTACAAAATTTTCCGATTTTTTATCTTACCGAAGACTAAACTGCCTTTTTTAATAACTAAATTATTTAGTGCGCAGAGAAATTAAAGCAAAACTTGTAGTTCAATAATGACAGGATATATTCAGACAACGATGCGGATGGCAGTATGCAGAAAGGTATCAAAAAAGTGCTAAATTAGCACTGCTAAATACACTGCTAATTACACAGAGACTTGTAAAATAGAAAGTATATTGCACTTGCACGTTTACATAGTATAATTATTGATCCAAGGACGGATTAATGCATTAATAACGTCATTATAATGAAGCTATTTCCTTCCATAACATATGCACAAAAAAGGAGATGTGTTTAATGCTTTAAATACACGGCGTGACATAATGAGACAATTTGTGTATTAGTAACTTGTAAAATGCTTACGTTTTGTAAAATAATTTTACAAACTTTTACAAAATAAAAAGACGCCCTTGATCGGTGTAAGTGTACAAAAATTTGGGAGCTAATTTTCCTCCTAAATAATAATAAAATTTTGAAGAGTTTGTAAGTTTACAGAATTTATGGATTTTACAATGCTACCAAGACCTGCGTGAATTGCATTTATACGTAGAAAATAGGATTGTAGTGTGTTTAAAACCTCAAATTTGTAACATATATCGAGTGAAAATGAAGTTCAAGATGTAAATCAGTGTATAGGCAGATTTGTAAACTGGATGAATTCTTTGTTCTTAGTAAGTTTACAAACTTTACAATTTTACAACTTGCTTATTTTTTATTAAGGTTTTAACAGCTTGCTCTTTTCAGGCTTGTTTTATCTATAACATATAGAACCAGAATAATCTATGCAAATCAATCACTGCATTCATGTAAATGAATACACACATTTTTAAAAATAAATAATCATGAACTAAACTTAACTTTGTAAAAAAATGCCTGTGTTGTTTATGTATGGCTTACAAGCCATTAAATACAATATGTCTATATTATTATTAATTTTAAGGTTTTAAAGATGCTTGAATTAGCAATGTGGATCGAGAAATATTGTAAAATAAGTCTTAATACGACTTCATAATTTAATCTAAATTGCTGTCAAATTGGGTAATGCAATTTGGAAATAAATATCTCAGAAAGTTTTATTTATTCGTCCAGTTTTCAAATTTTATGATTGTTTGAATTTGTGATGTCGTTTTTTATGCACTTTGTTTGTATGGAAAATGATTACATATCTGAGTTTCAAATTGTATTTAATCTTGTTAAGAACGTTAGTTTAATTTTTATTAAACAGTATTATAAAGACGTGTTTAGTATTAAGTTTCGTACTAAATTAAACTGAATTAAAAGCCGTTATGTATATTTTTCGCTAATCAAGTTGCTCAATAATAAATAGATTTTTACACAAAATTTTAGGTTATTTACGTTATTTGAAATTTCGTGTAATCATACTCCATATTGTCCTCACATTTGTCCATGAGGGGTCATCTTTTTTATACAAGTATCGTTATTTTTAAAAAAAATCTGACGAACTGTATTTCAAAAACTAACCCACCAAACTTACGCAAATTTTCCCATGATGTAAATACGCCAACATATTTATCGATTTTAACAGTTTAGTTTATTTTAACAGTTTAAGTAACATTTAGTGTATTTACACGTCGCCGTTACAGAATTAAATATTTAATCAAGTTGTACCGTTATTTTTTAAGGTCAAGCCAATTATATGATGCAATTAACGCAGTCCTTGGTAACTTTGTAAAATCTGTAAATTTTACAAATATTTCTGAGCAAAATTAGCTCACAAATGTTTGTAAACTTGCTTAGATCAAGGACATCTCTTTATTTTGTAAAAGTTTGCAAAATTATTTTACAAACCTTACGAATTTTACAAGTTACAAATGACTGCGTGAATATATTTCCTATTTCTAGCATTTCCAGATTACTGGTTTCGAATTTTCTGAATTTCTTATTTGCTGATAAATATTTGCACATTTTAACATTCCGAATACTGCACTTTGCTCAGAGGGGGATGCATTAATTCTAATTCTTCGGAAGTCTCGACAGGGTGAAAATGCAGGCAAGAATGAAACAAGAAAAGTTTGATTGGCTCGAAACTCCAGGCAATTTTCTCCTCAAGGGACTAACGCAGGCTCTGCATTTGTGGAACAAATAGTTTGGTTCGTTTACGTAAGCCATGAGGGAGACAAGGGCTAATACCTCACTTAATTAGTAACAGAGAATGAGACGTGTCTTGTTTATTCGGAAGAAGTGATACTTGTGCTTAGTGATGGTAATCCGTAACCGATCCTATCCTAGGATCGTAAAAACTCGGATAGGATCGGATTTTCACACGGATCGGATAGAGGATCCGAGGATCAGACAATCCGATCCGATCCTAACCGATGAGATCCTAGGATCATCACACAGGATCCTCGGATCATCCGATGTAAACTCGTTTCACATTTGGTGAGTTCATCACATGGCGTACATTACCCGAACGAGCCGAATTATGTTATTATTCTACACCAGTTATTTTTATTTTGGCGTTGAAATCATACTAAATTGAATAATTTGAACGCCAAAATAAAAATAACTGGTGTAAAATAATAGGATAATTCGGCTCATTCGGGTAATGTACGCCATGTGATGAACTCACCAAAAACCGTTCCAATAAATAAAGAAAAGCAGCTGGTAAAGTATTTCCATAGTTAGACACAAGGTGTTTCACACATATCATCCGCGGATATCCTAGGATCGGATCGCATCGGATTTCGAGTAGAACCGGGAGCCGATCCGATCCTAAAGCGAGCAAATCCGATCCGATCCGATCCTGTATTTATCCGATCCTATCCTACGGATCGGTTAATTTAGGATACGGATTACCATCCCTACTTGTGCTGATTGCAAAAAACGGGAGACGAAATAGGGGACTAAGAAATATTTTGCACTCGTAAATAGAAATCAATCCAGTATTAAAGTAATACCAAGCGGTATTCATATGTGCCTCTACCAACGTGGTATTGATTAGTAATACCGTGTAATAATAGTTCCGTAATAAATTTTTCCAAATCGGGAACGAATTTTTAGGGACCGGTATAAATTTAATACCAATCGGTAACAACTTTAACACCAAGAAATCAATACCTGCGTGACTATATCAGATTTCTAACAGTGTTCCCTGTGTAATCTCCCGACATTTAAATTTGTACCATAATAAAACCAATTTTACAATACGTGTCCATAACATTTACGCATTGTTCAAGTCATTCTGGATTCCAGGGCAATTCATAGCAGACGATTCATAGTCATATATCTCGTAGCATACAATTCATAGCATGTACATACCATAGTCCTTATAACTGATAGTAGTATATATCCATACATAGCGCATCTTTTCGTAGCAAGTACAATACATATTTATATCGCTACGTAGCATTGCATAGCGAGAAACCAAATATGCAAATTTTATCAACTGACAAAAATTTTAACTCGAGTCAAAGGTTATACCCCTGCTTTGTCCGTTTGTTTATCTGCCAATAGCCAACATACCCTTAGTTATTCTCATCTTGTTCACTTGAAATTTTTACACAACTGATTTTACACATACTGATTTTTCCAATTAATCAAATCGAACCTCTACATATTTTGTATAGGGTTTGCAAAAGTCTCTTAATAGCTTCACATCGCATAGTTTGAAACCCACTGAAAAATTACGTCGGCAAACCTTATTGGGGATACATACATAATTTGTGCGTAAGATTTGGGATTCAAAACGTACAAAATATTATGTGGAAGGTGGTGATTTTTAATTTTAGCTGACAAAAAACACTATGAATTGTATTGCTATGAATCGTGTTAAGCTATCAGATTAATAACTACGAAAAAAATGTGCTACGAGTTGTAACATGCTACGAATTTCATGCTATGAACCGTCTGGCACCCGTCATTCTGCATATCAGCACAAAACGTGATATTACGCATCAGTCAAACTTTATCTTTTGCGAAGAAATCGTTACAATTAAATAACCGTGTTCCAGTGTACCTAAAAGTTATATAGCTTAAATCATAAATATTGTAGAATGATTATTGCGGCATCAAGAATACTCATATTTGGGTAGGAGTTTTTTCACAAATATTTGTGGAATTTAGTATATTTATTTGTATTTAGGTCTTATTTTATTTTAAAAATTAGGAAACTTTAACAAAAAAACAAAAAAAAAACAAAATGAGTCATATGCATAAAAATAAGTAAATGCTTTTACTCCAAAATTTCCTTGGTAAATTATTTTTTTACGCCGGAAATTTTGAAGTAAAAGCATTTGCTTATTTTTATGCATGTGACCAATTGACTCGAAACGGGATGAAATTGATTTTCTTTTTGGAGAGGATTTCTTCCTGACGTGACAAGGAAAATCTTCGCTCATGAAAAATCCATGACTTTCTTTCTGCGTCGGATCGGAAAAGAAATGCGATATGCAATTTGGACTAATTCTACAACTTTGTTATTTCCGCCGAGTCTTGCATGTAGCACGTAAATATTATCAATAACAACATATCCAGCTTAACTAGAAAACAATAAAGGCGACAAATCCGACTTGTGGGGAAGAAAACACGATTTTTGTTGTTACTTTCAAGTATAGTTGTACGAATTCCGAGTTGAAGTTATATTTCAAATTTGCCGCATTTGCCTAGCGTTTAAATGTATGCCCAGATAAACCAGCAAAACTGAGCACGCTAGTCATCTCAAATTAATTTTTTTTCAATTCAAACAAATTTTGGGAATTTAAGCCCTTTATTAGTTTACGCATATTTAAGATTAATTCATACAATGAGAATTCCAAACGCAACTAATCTAAGAAAAACGGAAGCCATCATAGAAATACTGTTATAATTAGGCCATGATTTAAAATATGCTGAAACAATTCAAAATTAATTCAAAATTTACATAATTGGCATCAAATCTCATCCTCAAGTACAACTCGAAAGTTTTATAAAGTTTACAAACATTCGACTGAATATTAAGCTTATTGGAAAAAGCAAGACAAGATCTGAGTTTTTATAAAGATAAAAATGTTCCGAAAATTATTTATTGCTTATAAATCTGACAAAATTGTAGTTTTTGAATTTTGAAAATTATAAATCTGACAAAATTTGCGATTTTGAATTTTGAAAATCTCTCAAAAAACCATGCAGAAATTATATTTCTGTAAATTACTACACAATATATGCCAACGCAAAATTCACAATATTGCTCGAAATGCTACATAATTTTATATAATTATATTGAGGCAATTCACGTCAGCCTTCGTAACCACGAAGTCACGTAAACTTGCGAAACTTACGAACTTTTCATGAAACTTGGGAAAATCTCGAAGGCAATTTTGCTTACGAAATTACAAAATCTTACGAAGATAAAAGGCATGTTTTTGATTCGTAAGCTGATCTTCGTAAATTTACGAAGGCTGGTGTGCATTCTCTAAATGATTCACCAGGGTTTCTCCTAAGGAGAAACCACGGACAACAAAAAAGTTTATGCACCCTGATGATTCACATTAAAGAAGTTCTGGGTGATTTTAAAGCTTCCATGTAACAGAGCAATCTTAATTGATACATGTATCTTGAATATTGTGGATTGCATATTTAATTAGGTATGTATTTGCAAAAATCCTGCTTGAACCGAATCCTTCACGACTAAAACCTAAATATGTTTTATATCGATCATTACTCAATAAGTTAACAATTCGACGTCCAACTCGACCAATTTGAAGAACTTTAAATTCAACCTGCGCATATAATAATGCAAGAATACATATTTTGGCTAAATTTACTACTAAATGTGCAATGCTGGAAAATGGAGAGCGAGCTCGCTTATTTTTCTTACACATTTGAATTGTATTATTTTAAGCTTGAAATTACACTCTAAATAATTTTGATTAAAATTTACTCAATTTTGAGTAAAATTGCCACTAAAGCAACTGTTGAGTAAAATTTACCATGACAAAGGTAAAATTTACTCAAGGTGGAAAGATTTTTGCTCAACCTTGAGCAAATTTTACCTGTCAGGGTAAATTTTGCTCAACAGTTGCTTTGGTGGCAATTTTACTCAACTTTATTTACAGTGTATACCATTACAGCGTTCTACGTAATAAATAATTCAGAAATTGAGACAATTCACGCATCATTTGTAATTCATCCAAAGTGAAAATACACACACTCTCAATAATTTTTTGACGATATTGTTACCGGCGGAGGTACTATGCAATAATGCAATTCTACTGCTCGGGTAATAATTTATCACCGAAGGGTAACATATATACAGGGGCTAGATCCTGCTAAGTCCCCTATGTAAGTGTCCAGGTTAATAAAAATATTACCGATACCGGAGGCAATTTCTTACCCTCAGACAA